AGCACTCTCTTTATCAAAAAGCTGTGGCAACATTTGGCAGAGCAGCAACAAGAGTGAGTGAAGCTGGAGAGTGCAAAAGCATTACTGAGAACAACTGGGTCCCTGTAAGGTATGAGGTGATTCTGTCGAGCCTATTTCAGTCGGGGCCGCTATAGTCAAAAGAAGATTGTTATTTCCATCTGCAGTGATTTATATTTAGCTGTACGGCTCTGTTCTGAACCTTCCCGCCCTTCCACATGTATGCATGAAAAGCCTGCGGCGGAGAGCGGCAGCAAGAGCCCCACACAGAGCAGAGCAGGCATCAATGACAGCAGACATGACACTGATTAAATCAGACACAGCATGAAAAGGAGCAACTGTAGACAGGCTAAAGCAACTCAAAGATACCCATTATGCTCATTTCCAGCTTCAGGTTTTACTAGACCTGGACTCTACTAGGGTAGCTTTGCATGAATCACAGTTAAAAATAATCATTGCTTATTTCACACTGGGCCTTTAAATAGCCCTGCACTTCGTCCTCTGTTTAAAAAAGAAAAAAAATTCTCCCCTTTTCTTCTCATTGGCCACCCCTCATAAGCATAAGGTTTAAGTAGCAGATGGGTGGAGCTGTGTGCCCGAGATGACTATATTAGGGAAATCTCCTCTCTCTGTCCTTTCCTGTACATACGCCCACCTCTTTATTTGAAAGTGTAGCAGCATATGCAGAACAGGAAATACGGTAATACATAATAGGTTACTTTATATATCTTTTTTACTCGGTGGCGACTATGTAAACAGACTTCCTGCTCAGCATTTGCTGACATAGGAGTCAGCATTTGCTCACCGCTAATATCTGTAGAAAATTGCTCAAAGGTTGTTTATCTTAAACAAACAAGATCAGGTTAGGTTAAAAAAAATCCCACTAGTGATGTTGAGGACGTCTCAAAAACCCATTTAATATGATACACTTGATTTTAAGGAGTTAATAAAGGTTTTTCAAATGTCAGGATAACTGACACAATGTTTACTTCAGCACATGTGCGCTTGTAGGAGTGAACCGCAGAATCGATCATGACAACTAGTCATTCGAATGTCCTACACAGTGTTTAGGATAATGTTCAAGACACATTAATGAAGTAAATGATCAACAATCTTTCGTAAACAGACGCCAAAAGGATCATAAATCACGGTTATTAATATGATGAGGAAGCACGCAGTTATCACAATCGTGTAACAATGCCAGAGAAGCAAACATTCAGCATTAAGATCAAATCTTTTATCCCGTTTGTGTCTGCATAAATATTTAAGGAGAATAACTCTGCAAGAATAATAAATCATCCGCATATATTTATCTACTGCGAAAAACCCCTTTGCTGCTGCTACTGCTGACAATAAAATGATTACACCTGAATGAAAAAAAACCCCAGTTATCTATGTCCTCCGCCTCCTCTCTGTACAACAACCAGCCCAGCTGACTCTTGAGGATCCTGTAATGTCGGGTGCACACACTGTAATCCGTCGCCTTTTCAAACACATTCTGATTATTGCGTAGAAACTGAATGCACGTTTCCCTATTTCCATCCCTCCTATATCTGGCCCCACGTCTTTCTCGGATCTAATTATTCCTGTTAAATACATGTACTGGGTAGTGCAAGTACAAAGGGGCGTGTCACTGGTGAAATAAATGTGTTTTGTGAGAAAGAGCAGCTGCAGTGCCATATAAATGCAGCCATTTTCTCTGGTCAGTGCACTTCCCTGCCCATCCTCACAGCATCATCAAAGCCTTGCTAAGCTTATGTGTTTTTCCGCTTATACACACGTGTGTGTGCGAGTGCGTGAAGAGTGTGTTTGACACTGTGCCAGCCTCTGTGTGTATGCACACATAATTATGCAGCATAGATCTGTGAGTTAGCCCTTGAAAAAACATGCCAGTTCATTCACGCTAACAATACGATATTTTCCAGATGGCACAGGTCCACATTGATCTGCAGCCAGAGCATTTATCCTCCGGTGCTTTCACACATCAACCAATAAAGTCACCAGCAGAAATTCCATCAAAAATGCATATATTACTGAGTTTCTAACCAACAAAAGGCCCAGGCAATGTGTGACAAAATGTCAGGCTTCTGGGGGCTCGTTTGTTTCGAGAAATCATTTTTTACCAAATAATGATCTAATTAAAAATGCATTCCAAAAACGCTTTACCAACTAATGAAAATGCGTTTCGTGATGTAGCTCATTAATATACACGTGTGTATTTTTACCCAAAGCACTATTATCGCATCACGAACAGAAAAACATGAGTCTCATTGAGGAACAATGCACTCATATCTGAGAGTCACTAGAACGGCAAAATCTTCCGAGATCACGAGCATTCAGCCATTATTGGTTGATTAGGTCAACAGTTTCTACAGATCTGTGTCTTCAAAGCTAAACTGGAGGTAAGTAAGTATCATGTTGCAAGATGAATATTGCTACCTTACAAAGCTACATGTATTGCATCCAACAACTACACTTTCCTTTAGCTTAAGTTGAGCTCCACCATCTCCTTCGTGGATTAATCAGGCTTTAACCCCCAAATGTTCCTCTACCAGCTAAACAATCATCATCTCTGCTTGATGTTTGTGTCATTAAATCCAAATTAAACCAATGTGTAAAATAAAATATAGAGTACAGAAGAATATCACGCTCAGGTATAATGTCTTCTGAGCAGAGCCGTACACGCAGACATCTGAGGACTATACCAAAATCAGCATTATCTTTTTTAAAACAAAGCTCTGATGAGGTTTAGGATAGAGCTACCTAAACCTTGTCAAAACTTCCTCCGTCTCTGATTAGGCAACATATCAGCCTGGCAGATGTACGCTGACGCTGAGCTTTATTTCATCCTGTTCTGATAAACTTTTGTTGCTGAATTTTGACGCTGACGGGTTTTCGCACAAATGAAGACAATACCGAGAGCGTTGCAGACAGCAGCCGCCATCTGTGGTGCGAACCTAACGGCGGTTTATTGATGTGAGTTCTGTTGTTCGAAAACGGAGACATTGGCATTTGCAGACGCCTCGGCCTGTGATCAATCAGTTTGAATAATATTTATATCCTCGCTCCTATTTTTCCTCCCTCAACATCAACCCTTTGTGTTGTTGTCTTTTTATTTTTGTTATAACATTTAAGCTAACTGCCTGGCATTAGACACCAGGCCACTGGATAAACAGTGTAATATCACTTCTGTAATAAACATGATAAAATGAAGGCAGATGCATGGTAATTGTAGAGCAAGTAAAAAAACCTGCTGAGGATTTTGATAGGAGAGGCTGAGAAAGTGTTTTTGTCTCCTTCTTGCAGATCTCTGTAAGTAGGAGGTAGTTAGCCTCTCTTATTCATACTGGATTGCTGTCAATTCCTGGCACAGCCTCTTCCTCACATGGACTGAGATGACAAGGCTATTACTGCAGTGTGGGTCGTCTGCTATTTTTTTTTTTTGTGGTTGTTTTGATTTCCTTTTTCTTTTCCTAAAAATTAACTGCTTAAACAGAGTCTCCTTTATGTGAATAAAAAAATCTAAGTAGTGGAAGAAATGAATTTATCCTTCAAAGCAGATCTTGCTCTCCTGAGTGGAGACAAAAGGACTATAACCAGTTATCCAGCAGTCTGCAGGAGCATCTGTAACTGTAACCCAATGCGACAACAACACTAAACAAAAACGGTGCGACCAGGTTCGTGAGGAGTGCTTGCTCCTTTGGAAAACAAACACGATCTAGATCAGAAGTTCTCTGGGCCTGATTCAGATAGCCTTTATCTCTTTATCAGGCAAACCAACATTACCCTCTGACCACCACACTCAAAGGACAAGGCTGGTGCTTCACAAACAAGAGCAAACATGTATGAATCAGGCCCCTGGATTAGCTATACCGCTCATTTCAGTATAACATATAGTTACAAAAATATGACCCAAAATGTCCACTGTTGCTCCATTTTATCATGTTATACCATGCTTTAAAAAAAACAAGCTAAAACCATATAAAAAGATGGGTCGTGGATGGGTCTTTAAGCATGGCAATGACCCAAAACATACTGCCAAGGCAACTAAAGAAGAAGTACATTAAGGTCATGGAGTGGCCTAGCTGGTCTCCAGACATCAACACTACAGAAAATATGTGGAGGGAGCTGAAGCTTCATGTTTCCAAGCAGCAGCCAAGAAACTGAAAGGAGTTAGAGAGTTTCTGTAAAGAAGGAAGCTACTACAAGAAACCTCTCACCGTTGTGCAACAACAACAGTTTCTCTACCAAAGTACTAAGTTGTGTCATGTTTTGCTTGAGGATCAAATACTGATTGATATTTATTTATTTATTTAGGACAGTGAATGTTAATGAACATAAATGTAAAAAAAAAATTACATGAATGTAAACATGCCAGACTATAGCCAAAGGCTAATTTCACTCAGCAACATGCAAATCAATGTATAACTTTTATATAACGTTTTTTTTTTCCTCAATTTTTGGTTAATATTCCCTCTCTCCATTAAAATGAAACTAGCATAAATACAAGAGACTGTTGATTTCTTTCTAAGTGAGCAAAAATCAAATAATTATTTACCCCATTGCACTTCTAAAGCAGATCACGTATAATATTTAACTTCTTAAGAAAGAAATCATCACAGTACTGGTAGCTTTTTTGTAAATGTTACTTTAACAGAAGCAGCGCAACTGTTCGACCATAAATTATACACATTTGTGCTCTAGTGAGTATTTACAGCAGTGTATGTGAGATTAGCTTGAGCCATAAAACACTGCCCCGGTTCACCGTAAGGAACAATCGAGTCACCAAGTGCAACAGCGTGACTCATTTATGTGTTTTTTACAGAAAACAACAGAGCTCCACAACACAGAGGAATAAACACATTCTGGCTTTACTGTTAGTTTTTCATGAGTTTTGCTGACAAACATAAATCTTTTGCCCTTTAAAACTTCGTTTTTTCATATTGACAGTGTATTACAAACATAAATAATGTGAACCTTACCTTGTGTCGGCACTTCAGAACAACACCATAGGCACCTGAAACAGAAGCAAAAAGCAAGATTACTTTAATTTCCTTTACTGTTTATTCATCCATTCAGAGTAACTTTTTCTTTCAAGTAGAATCAATAACAGTAAATAATAAAACACAAAATCAGCTTGAAACTCTGTAATTAACATGCCACCATGATCTACAGCCATAAACAAACAAGAGAAAAGCTTTTGAAATAACCCCTTCGAATGCTTCCTATATGTTCGCATGAACTACACATGAACTAAACCCCCCCTTTATAAAAAGGACAGGTGGTCCAGAAAGTAGGACACAAGTGTTGGCAAGCTACTGTAGATCTGATGTTATCGACCCTGGCAGTCACACACATGCATCCCCCGAGGGTTCGAGAGGAATTCTTGGACCAAGCAGACATATGACGAATGGATCTGTGCTCCTTTACGAGAACATCAGTGCTGAGAAGTTATCTGCTCTACAGTCGAACACACTTTAAAGACTAAAGCTATGGGGTCTATGTATTATTTATACAACTGTAACAATTTTAACTTGTGTCTTTATTATTATTAATATAATCCAAGACTCAATTTCACCTCTTGAACGTGTAATTATCTTGGGTACGCGCCACCCAGAAGACACTGGTGAGTAAGAAACGTGTAATAACACATCAAGCTATATGTTGGACTGAGGATGTGCTGTGCACATAGCATAACCACCATAACCATACACAACAGCATCCTTAAACTCTTGTTTATTTTCACTAAATCAGCCACCTTCAGCATCTTAGTTTGGCTTTAATCTTCACATGTACGTCCAGCGGTTCCAGCAAGCATGACCGCCACCAGTGAAAAATCCACTGACTAACAAGAAACCAAACTGGACAGGATTTTTTTGGTGTATGCAGCCTGGTTTCATGACAATTTAGGACATTTTGTATGTCATTAGTAAAGCAGGGACACATTAGCCACATCTCTTACCCCATTCCTACTAAATTAGTGCACAAAAAGCTGCAAAACGTGCCTGAAGTATTAAAAGATGGAAAATAATTTCTCCCGTTCATTTCCGTCCTTCAATGAAGAGCTGGAGATAACTGCACATAATTCAGTGTATTTTTAATTGCTGGGGTGAGCTGCATGCACTTAGCACTTAGTACTAAATCATTAACAAAACTGACCTCAAGATCACTGAGGAAAAATCTATGATGCTGGGATCAAGCGGAGCACACAGTGCAATGAGTGCTACGGCAGGAAACGGGGAGATGAGCAGGAAAATTTCTACAACTTTTACAGTTTAATGTGACACTAAAAGTGCTGACTTCCTTCCCAACCGGCGCATCATCGGACAGGCACGCAGCTTTTAAAATCCAGCTCGAGATTTCCCCGCATCTTTCTGCCACGCATTATAAAACTTCTAAGACGTGGGAGTAGAAGAGTAAGGGTGTAAAAACTAGGACGTGTGGGTGGCCTCCCTTCAGGGCTACTGCCACTTTCTATCAACCAAGTAGCTCAAGGCAAAACAAAAGCCAGGAGAAGCATTTCAGGGGAATTTAACTATCACACAGCCATGCCCTGCTGATATTTACTACAATAAAGCAAAAGAAATCCCCAAACCACCACTTCATTTATCCAATAAGAACATGAAAGTATGAATCACATTAAAGCATCTAGCTTCAGTTTGTCACATTTAAATTCTTTTGGATAAGTGAATATAAAACAGACGCCCTTGACCTTAATAAGCTGTAAAGGTCAGGCTTTTAATGGGCTTGTTCTGCAGGCAAATTGGTTAAAAACAATCAACCGATGGCTCACTAAAAAGCCATGCAAGTGTGCATGAAAGGCTGGACTGGACTAGTTCTTACTATCTACTGCAGACTGAAAAACAATCGCACAAAACAGGCTTTTCAGCAAGTAAATGACCGCACTTACCTTCACCCACAATCCCAAGGACTTCAAATTTATTCATTACATCACCAAGGTCAGGGATCTTCATGAAGTCAAAAGGTATGCTGTGTGAGGTGGGTGGAGCTCAGGCTCGGGGGCCCCGGCTACAGGACTGCATGAGTCGGCCAGCTGTCGGCTCCTGAGAGGCGAACGCCTGCTGTAAGCCATAATATCCGTCACATGCCTCCGTCAGTGCCTCGTCTTCGCCTGCAGGAAAACAATGCACCAAATCAAAATAGATAAAGAGCCCTCTTAGCTCAGAGTTAAAAGAAAATCTACCGATACTGAATTCACGAAAGCTTCAGAAAAAATGAATCTGTGTCACAAAACTAGCAATCCTTTAGTTAAAGGGTGATTCCTGCTTTGTATAGGTCCCTTTTATTAAGCTGGAGGAGTTTAGAAAGGGTGACTAGAAAGAACAATAATCAAAATGGGTGAAGCAGGGGCTGAAATGTCCCAACTTTTGGTCCCTATTAAAATAAAAAAGCAGGATCCAATTCCCAGAAAGCAGTTTAATACAATCTATCATTCGTCCTCCTTTGCCTGCACGCCCTCATTTCTCGATCTCCATGCCCACAGTTTTAAAACACAGGCTTTCTCCCAGCTAATTGATATCTTCAGCTTTACTAAAGATAACCCTGATCATATCACAAGGGTTATTTTCTCAAGACTTGACGAAGCTCCTCTAGAGCCACAGAAGACACTGCACAAGGGTATTAACAGGCTGTGCAGGCTCCACATACCGAGCGAATAGACGCGAATGTGTGAAATCAGTGGACTGTCTCGTCAGTATAAATTAAGTAAATAAAAAGGTTCCATATTATAGTTTACAGAACCTGATGAAAATGATGGTGAAAATAGTAAATTCCTACCTGTTTAGAGAGAGTGAAAGGGCACCGCACGCATTTTGAACGTGATCAAAGGATTTCCTCTGGTATCCACACACTCTTTATTGAATCAGATAAGACTCCAGATACCACTTTCTCCATTTCATCTTCTCCTAGCTGGAAAGCTCAAGGACTTGTGTAGCCTACACACACACTCACTTGCAATCTCCTACAGAGCTGTGGGCACAGGAGCTGCTCATCACTATGCAAAAACCTCGGCACCAAAATAAACTGAGTCTCCCTGAACACCAAATATCGCTGTGTGGTCTGTTACTCCCTTATCTTACTCAGCAGCAAACCCTCAACTGTAGGCTAAACTCAAACACTTTTCACCTCGCAGAAAATGCCTTTTATTTTTCACTCATGAGTGTGTTTCTGTGCTTCCTTTGGTCCATTTCAGCTTGCAGCCTACATGAGGTGGCATGCAAGCCTATTGTTTTTCCCAAGCAGATTTTTGCCAACTAACCCACCAGGCCCACTCCTGGAAGGATAATATGATCAGGAATGCACAGTGCATGGCTGTAGATCGTATATTTTGTCTCTATCAACAGCATGACTCATGCGTGGTGCGTGGAATTGAAAATGCAGAACCTCCAAAATCTCTTCATATCATCAGTGCACTAGTATTTATGCAGAATTGTGTCTTTCTGATCATTAAAATTTGACAAAGTGGTGGAAATTTGTAGAAAAAAACAACAACAACAACAACAACAACAACAAAGGGATCCATCTAACAACGTCACTCAGGTTTAGAGTAACGTGATGTTTTTTTGGGTTAATTGCACACAATTACGCAAACAACAATGGACACAAGTTTAAATTTAAGATAAAATTATGGTTGAAAAAAGGAAAAGAAATTTACTGCTGTTTATGTAAAAATCTCACCTGCATTTGTGGTGTTGCTTCTTATAACAAGTCTCTCACATTCTTAACAGCTACAAAGGTGAAATGTAGCTGTCACAAATCATCATTTTTAACTGTAGCCTGTGTATCTAATTGTGTATATATGCACATATGTATGCGTGTGCGTGTGTGAGAGAGACAGGGAGCTATGACTGCCCACAGACTGACTGTAGCGCCCACATTTTTAATGCAGAGCAACAGCAAACCCAACAAGTCAAACATATGAAGCCAACTTAACAGAAATTAACAGTTTTTTTCCCCTAGTTGTTGTTGAACCAGCTGATTCAGAAAACATGCATAACAAACCTCCCGCCTGCCTTAACACATAAGAGATCCGAGTCACCCTCGCAGGTTAAGTGTTACCCAAGTAAAGATAAAAAAAACTACTCACTCAGTCACTGTTTTTGGGGAAAAACGATGGAAACAGGCCCATATAAATATATCCACCCACCAACGACGTTATTTTCATTGCAGCAGGCAGCTACAGTAACTGGATCGTGCGGTTGACAAGCTCCGAGCCCATCGCCAGGCAACAGTTCGAGCGACGTGACAGCGGCCAATGAAAATGCTCGGAACTGTTGTTTATTCCAACGCCCCCTTAGTTTCAGCCAATTACAGCACAGATGGCTTCCGGAGAGAGGGGGGGCGAGGGGAGGGTTGCTGAAAACTGTGTTGCGGTCTGAGGGTGTTTGGTATGAAGGTGGGATATTATTGTTCTAATTTCTCAATTACATAATTCTGGCAAATCACACCCCGCGTTCAAATATGACAACATAATTTAGCTAAAGGCCACTCCAAAGTACATAAAGAGGCAGAAAGATTGCCTTTTAAGGATGTTCTGATGTAAGGTGTATACACAAGCTACATTAGAGAGGAGTAAGTGCCTTGCTTAAGGGTAAGGGTAAAAACTGGACAAAACAAACTACAAGAGAGAGTAAGTACACGTTAATGGTGTGTAATAGTGGGATATAAATGCATCAGGGAGTGAATGAGCCATAAATTGAGACTCCCAGCTGCAGTCTCAAAACTTAGAGTGGAATGTGAAGAAACTGCTGTGACTTTATATCCAAATCGTGTGCATTGTTTTCAAGAGAAATCCACTGTAGCTAAACACAGGCTGGGCTGCACTTTTTGCAATGCCAATTTTCACCACTAGGTGGTGCAGTGAGCCAGTAGAACTTATTAATTTAATTACTTATTTAATCGGTAAAGTCATGAAGAACACATTCTTAGTTAAAATGATAGGATGTGGAAAGGAAAAGATTCACGATTCAAGATTCATTATAAAGCCTGTCAACAGAATCTGCAGCAAAGGTACTTTACAGGTACTTTATTTTTCGGACCATAAGGCGCACCGGATTATAAGGCGCATTAAGCGAAACAAAACAGTCAGATAAGTCAAACTTTACTCAACTCATTGTTCTTGCTTCCTCCACTTCCGTACCATTGATTCATTAATGTTAAATTCTCCAGCAGGTACTCTATTCCAATGTTGTTGCAATATATTAATGACCAACCTCTTATTGTGGATGGATTATCTCAGTTGTTCTCCTGACTGACGTTTGGTCCGTTTACAGCATCCTGCCATGCGATTGCATTTGTCCCTAACCATAGGGAACCCTCACGTTAACTTTTATCAAATTGAAAAAAGTTAGCATTCATCCTCCAGCTTCACTGTGTTTATGTTATGCTAACATAGCTATGTCGCTAGCGATCAGATAGCACATCATTATATACCAGCTAGTCCAACTTCAGTATGTCATGGTCCGTGGTCCTGTGTCAGTGGAATGCGTGATGCTCGGGTAGCCACACCCCCGGGCTGGGCCATCACCAGCACACCTGCTCTCCATCACGGTGACTACACGGAGATCTACTTAACCCGGCGCTGACGGATGCTCCACGCCAGTCCGTTAGTCACCCCCACGGTGGTAACCAGACTTTCGCTAAAGCGTGCATTCTCTTCTGGATTGGAACTGTGTTTTAACCTGCCTATTTCTGTCCAGGTTTTCTACTCGGCGTCTGCTACCTGCCTGTCCTCCGGCTCAACAGGATCTCACGGTGCTCACCGGGCCCTTTCACCATTCCTCGGACTTCCTGCTCCTCCACGGACTGCCACACTTCCCTCCCGAGCTCCCACGGTCCCGTTCCACCGTAAGCCCACTACTCTAACCCAGTCCAGATGTGTTTTCCCCGCTTCCCGGCTCCCTA